CCGGGCGCGGCGGGCGCCCGCATGGATTTCTATGAGGCGCATCCCTCTGGCAAGGTGGACTTCGCCAGGTAACCGCGCGGAGAGCCGACGGGGCCTTTTTTTGCCTTTTTTTTTTTTCCCTTTTTCCCCCCCCTTCTAAAGTGTCATGGCTCACCGCGGAGTTGACTTTAGAGAAGCTACGACGGCGCGCGAGGAGTTTTTCTTTCTCTTTTTCCTTCCTTCGCTCCTCGAGGCGGCTCTGCCGTGACCCGCGTGTCCGTGTCCTAGCGGTGGCCCCAGGACAGCAGCCTGGCCTGAAGCTTGGTCGTTTCCGAGGAAAACCCCTTCGTGCTTTCTGATATTTTTTTCTTCATATTTTTTCTTTTTTGTTCTTTTTTCCCCGTTTTTTCCCTCTTTTTTTTTCTTAAAAAAGTTCAGCGCCTTTGCTTCCTTATTTTAATACCCTGCCTCTTACGAGGAGGCTGCTAAGCTGTGGAAGGTCTTGCCAAATCCAGCTGGAGTTTGGGTTTTTCCACGTGCGTTTTTGCTTCCAATGAAATTTAACGGACGAGGCCGTCGCAGGTATTTTTCTCGCCCGTGGAAGAAGGGAAGAAACCGTGTTTGGTTTGACGGTGTTAAGTATGTGCCAAGAGCAGGTTAAGTACGTGCCAAGAGCAGATGCGAAGTGAGCTGCTGTCGATGGTCTGTTAATGCATGGAGGCAGATCTGGGTTTTGCTAAGGGAGAGAAAGAGTGGATTTTGAGACAGTGAAGGAGGAATAGTTTCTATTGTCAGAACCAGGAACGCTGTGGACTGTGCAGTCTTTACACATCAGGATAAAATTATTATTTTTTGTAGTATTTTTCTGCTTCCAGCGTGGTTAGGCAGAAAGTGAATCCTGAAATAACAAAAAGCACTGTAGGTAAAGGATATCCAGCCTCCCAGCAGGTTACGTCCGCTGCTTTACGAGCAGATCCACGATCGTCTTGGAACCCACGACTTACCCCAAGCTGATTTGTCAGGAAAAAATATACAGTTTGCCTTCTCTTATTATTATGTTCTCTTTTTTTTTTCCTACCAGAACCGGCAGTTCTGTTAAGCGACTGAGTTACAACCCAGCTGGTAGTCCTGATTTTTCCTCCTCTGCTCCTAAAGGAGGTCGATGTTCTTTAGGACAACGTGCTTTTTATTCAGGTGTTGCAATGAGAAAGAAATCGCACAGAAATCTGTAGTTTTTGGACTTCAAATTAGTGGATCTTTCCGTTCTCATTCATTATTATTATTTGTTTTTCTGCTACCTGCATTCTTTTTCCATGTGAAGGCTGCGTTGCCAGAGCGAAGCAACTCTGAATTCCCAGCGAGGCTGCCTGGCCCTGCAGCTCCGCATAGATGGATAGGGTTGAATGCAGGTTGCTCTGGTGCCTTTTTTTTTCTTACAAGTGACTTTAACCTGAGGACTTTCCCATTTGCTGTGGATATTTAAGCAATCTCTTATCACGCTGCATGAGAATAGGGGCTTCTACAGTCTCCCAAAAGAAAATTCAGACTTGTTTTCTGCTGTGCTATGTTTCATAAAAAGTTCTGCTTGCCAGAGACAACAGTCTCTGTGCATGCAGAAATATGTAGAAGGACCTCAAAAGAAGGCTTTGGCTAGAAGTTTATCTTTTTGCTTACTTGCTTGCCTTTTTCCCCAACTATATAGTGCTGATTTGTGAGGGTGTTTTGTGGCTGTAAATCCTAGAAACTCCCACTCACTTTGTCTTGAACTTGGGCAGTTGTCCCATTGAAGCTGAATGAGCCTCCTTGTGTAACTGATAATGGATCGAACACATAATTTGCAAAGTGCTTTGCAATCTTTTTGGTAGAAGGCGGTGATGAATGTAGGATACTGTTAAGCTGATTATAGTGATTAGAGTATTTCACAACTTGGCATTTCACAACTTTTTGTATTTGTAGTATATTTCAATCTCTGAATGCATCTGGGCAAATAGCAGATGAAAAGGATACTTATCTTCCTGGGCAGAGGTGTTCTGATGTTGACAGGGATTTTATTTATTTATTTAATAAATTCATTAAGAAAATACTGAGTCTTGTCTTACTACAGATGAGGAGATGATTATTTTCTTTAGTAAATGATTATGCTTATCCTGGACAGAAAACTGTTTGAATGTTGCTTAAAAATCAGATTTAAACAGTGTTAACTTGAATTGGCTTTAGAGATGGCGCATCCATTCTATCAATAGAGCTAAAATACGTTCATCTGTCTGAGCTGGTAGAACCACATTTCCTATGAACACTCCACTTTCACCTATGGGCCTTGGGCCCAGGTCTTGGACTTTTCTCTTTCACAGAAAACATGAGATGTCCAGGGTGTGTGTCAGATTTTTTTTTTTCTTTTTCATAATAGTATGACGTGAAGAAAAAAAAATGCCCCTGGTTCATATTGTGATGTTGTTTCAAACAAGTGTTGCAGGCAATTTATATGATAACCAGAGAGTAAGTGGTTTGAGTTCTGTTGCCAGAAAAAAAAAATGCAGCTGAATTGACCAGTAGTGCTTTTGGACAATGTTCCCTGTGTAGCCTACACCAGATCAGCCATTTCTAGGTACTGCTCTCAGATACTCTCTGACAAGCAAGGTGCCTTCCACAGGCTCGGTAGGGAAGGTGCTTTGTGAATTCACACTTTGCAGCTGTGTATGAGGGCAGCACATCTGGCTCTGGAGTGTAGGCAGAGAACTGGGAGCACGTTGTGGCTCTGTACTATTACTTAAGGTGTGCTAAAGGTGCCATAGATGGAAAGCCAATATCTTTAACTCTTGCTGGGTTGGATTCAGAGTGTTTGTTAGCAGGTCAGTTGTGCTCTTGAATAACCTTGTGTGATATATTCTTTTTAAAAAATATAAATGTGTGTATATATATATACACACTGGTATAATCCTACTGAGTTGGGTCAAATTCAGCTTGATATATGCTGAGTATGAGTGAGATCAGAATTAGGTTTCTGGGCTTTGTGTTTGACTAATCCTTGTAATGCAGTGAATCAGAATATGAACCTAGTTAAACTGGGCTGCTAGTTTGGAAGTGCCGTAGACTTTCAAAATCCTTTTCCATACGTTTTAACAGTTTTTTTTTTTCCTCCCCTTCTCCTCTCTCTCTAGTAAAAGGCCCGTGTTGGTTCTTCAGAATGATTCTCTGTACTCCCAGAGACGTCCGTACACCAGTGAAGATGAGGCCTGGAAATCCTTTCTTGAAAATCCCCTTACAGCAGCTACAAAAGCTATGATGAGCATCAATGGTGATGAAGACAGTGCAGCTGCCCTTGGACTGCTCTATGATTACTACAAGGTGGGTTGTCCTGGGTGAGCTTTGACAACCATCAGAGCTCCTGTTCCACCCATGGATAAAGCATCATTTTTTAGAGGATCGATGAATATATACTTCTAACTTAAAAAAAATACTTTTCAGAAAAGTGGTCTGTTTTAGTTCTGTAAAATGGGCTCATCTGGATCATCAGAGGCTTCAGTTGAGGTTTGCCTGTTGACTCTGGGCTCTTCAGGGGGCAAAGTTTTAGTAGTCCTGAAGAATGAGACTTCGAAGCATGTCCATGCCTGAATTTAGATACTTGGGGAGGAAGCTCTTCTGCTCACATGATCCGTGTTCTGATGGGACTGTGGGCTTTTACTGGAACTCAAATGTGTTACTTCAGTGTAAGTTGAGATGCTACCAGTTTTGGGTTGTGGTGAGCAAAGCGTCAGCCTGAGAGACGTGTTGTCTATGTCAGTCTGACTTTAGTGAGCACTGGCTTCCAGGTTCTCTGAGTCCCTTGACAACTACAGCTGTCTTCTCTAGCATTCAAGGTATTCTCAGTGGCTTTCCTTCTGGATGCTCACAGCTGTATTGAAGCCAAACACCTTTCTGGATGTGTGGGGATTTTCCTTTGCTACTTATTAGAAGCCCAGGCTGGGGTAGTTGTCTGCATTCCTTCAAAGTCTAGGAGGGGTTGCCTTCTATCTTCAGAATCCTTGCCTGTATTTTTAGGAGGTCTTATGTAGGAGGTCTACATGGCCTTATGTATCAAAATAGTCTTAGTGCTTAGTATAGAGATTAGTACTCTGCAGGTATGATAAAATGCCACAAACTCATCGATGTGTATGTTATTTAGCTAGTTTTGTGAGAAAACTGACTTTCTGCTTTAGCCTATGCCCACACTCGCTGTGCTCTTGAAAAAAAACACTCTCACCAGATCAATTTTAATCCACAAAATCAATTCTGACTTCTAAAACTTCAGGTTGCAAAGCGAATGTTGATGCTGATCCTTCATGCTTGGCAAAGCACAAGGGATTTGCTGTACATTAATGTCTTATTCAGGGTTTGCTTTTTGTTTGTGCATCAGTAGCTGTATAGAAGAATCAGTGTGGGGGAGAAAAGGGGATTCTGCACAGTTCTTTGAAGAAAAATGGTTAGAGGTTGAAAGCTTTATTGAAGCCTGTAAGGAAGTAAAGTCTGAGGGACAATGTGCAGGTATTTGGAACATGCTTTTTTCACTTCTACCCCAAAATGTTAAAGCTAGATGATGAGTTCTGATGGGTCAACTGTTGTAATTAAGGCTTTATAGGCAGTGAATTTGTGGTCAAGATCTAGAGTTTTTTAAATGTTGGGCTTTCAACCAAATACAATTTGGAAGTGTTTCTTTTGTTCTGGTGTTTTTTTTTTTTTTTTTTTCCTCTCCTCTGTGAATAGTTAGCACCAGCCTTTTAGGGCCTCTCAGAATTTTGCTGGCCACTGAAAGAAAAAACAGATTGTTCTGATGCTGTTAGAGACATGACATGGTGTAAAAAGCGCAGGATTTGGGTCGCTGTTATCAGTGAAGTACCCTTTGCATTGTACTGAAGCACTAGTTGTGTGTTTGGGAAAACACGTGTGTCTCACGCGTGCCATGTCCGAGGCAAAGCTCAAACCTGCTCGTGTCTGGGACACTGTGGTGAGTGTGTGTCCTGTTCTGGGACACCTGAGTTGGGCAGGTGCTGGGATAAGGAGCACTGAAAACTGCTGTGGCCATTTCCTAAGTGCAGCTGTTAAAAACCCTCTGATTTCTGCCTTGAAATGCCTGTGGAGTCTCTGCTTTCTGGGCCTGGGAAATCCAGTTCAGCTACTAAGTGGAGTTGCCAACAGTGGGAACAGAGTGGCTTATGTGTTAGGTATTACTGTGTGTAGTGCTTGGAGGAGGAATTCTGTCCATGGCAGAAAATGCCAGGAGCAGTATTGAGCTCCTCTGTGTCCTAGGCCAAAGTACCTGTGGTTGTCCTGTGCTTTTAAAAGTATGAGTATAGTTAGGGCTCCTGTGTTGTCAAGGGTCAGGTATAGGAATGGGCTGTGTAGCATCCTGATGTGCTGCTTGTTTACTTTGGGCTCTGTTCAACTGCTGTAAACTGTAACTGAAAATATGACTAGGTGGGTTGTAGCTTCTAAAAGTCATCTTAGCTCTGTGTAGAATTTGCCCTGTATCTTTGAAAGGATTGCTCTGGGTGTGCTTTCCAGGAGGGAATGCTCCCAGCGCCTGAGGAGCAGCCTGCTACCCTCCCCTGATCCTCCTAGGGAAGGGGACAACTTCCTCCATCTGTGAGGGCTGGAAAAACAACCTCTAGGAATAAGTCTGTAACTAGAGATGAAACCTTGAGTTATCTTTGAGAAAGTGGCCTAGACCATCTGTCTCCTGAGATGTGCAGCAGTTTTGTGAGCCCTGAGCTCATCCAGCGAACTGAGCCCATTTCATTCTCAGAAAGGCAAATCTGCATGGCTAGTTTGAACCTCTGGAGATCTTCTTGTTCTGTTCATGTGGATGCTCACACTTCAGTTTAAGAAGGCCCGTTTGGCCGCACCAGTTTCAGCACTGTCTAAGGCTGACTGGAATCCAAACCACGCTCAACTGGCTGGGCTGGTTACTGTAGGATCCGCTGAACAGCGTGTGGGGCAGGCCTGGCACCCCGAAGCAGTAAGAATGTTAACATCAGTCAAGGACTGTTACTAGTAGTGCATAGTATCAGAGAAGGATGCTTTCCTGATTTGATCAAATTTGATCTAATGGCTGTGTTAAGAGCTATTTACTTCTTTTTCTGTGAGGAAGGAACAAGTCGTGCTATAACTATATTCTATTTCCTAGGTTCCGAGAGAGAGGAGATCTTCAACAGCTAAACCAGAGGTAGAACATGCTGACCAAGATCACAGCAAAAGGTATGAGTTTTTACAGTAGTATGTCTGCTTCATTCCCTCTGAGACCACCAAACCTGCTGAGCAGATATAATTTGTCTTTTAGTGTTATGCTCAAAGAGAAAAGTTGTTTGCTTTTACTTTGCCCCAAATTTTTGTGCCGCCCTACAAAGAGGATGGGGATTGAGGTATGATGTTGAGAGCCAGGGCACACAAATTCCTCCTTATCCCCATTTGTGTGCTTTTTCCTTCCTCACGTTGGATGGCTGCCTAGTCCAAGCTATCCTCTTTCCCCTTCAGCTCAGTCTGGGAACACAAACAGCCCTTCCCAAGACATGCAGAGGAGATTGGGTACCCTTTGCTTTTTGCATGTGGTTTCCTCAGTTGCTTGTAACTTCTCTCCTAGTTCCTGCACACCGACAAGTTGCTTCCTCATGCATGGGATGACAGGGAAGCACTTCAAAGTGCTTGTGACTTTAGTTTTGGTTTTGTATATTTTGTGGACTTTTGGGAATGCCTCTCTCTTTTGCTCTCCTGCTCTCCCTTTTTCATGCCCCTAAAGCAGAAAAGATACTGCTTAAATACTACAAATGTGAAGCTCATTCAGGTTAGGCTTCCACTGCTGCTCTCCTCTTCCTGTTCCTTTAGACAGATTGGAACCTCTTAAGAGTCAAGGTGAGGTTTTGTGGTCTGGCTCAGCTGATCGAATGACTGTTGAGAGGAGCTGTCTGGTTCCCAGCCATGTGTTTCTGCTGTCTCTGCTTGCACCAACTCTGGTCTTCCACTGACCCATAACCTAGGAGGAGAAAAGTAGTGACTAGTTTCTTGCCCGTTGAATAAGCTGAACTGGCTTGCCAAGGGGTCAGGGCAGCGCCAGAATTGGTGCAATGGTGAGGGCAGGATGACGCTGTTGGGAAGAAAGGAGGGCTGGCTCTTTTTGGGCTACAAGCTATTGGGCCAACCACAGGTGTAAGTGTCATCCCGACAGAAGTGAGTGTGGGGGGGGTGAAGAGTGGGAAGTTAGGGAAACGGCTTCAGGGAACCTCAGCATGGCTTCTCCTGGGGGGGACATGTGTGAAAGAGGGCTGTGATTTCCTCATCACCTTCCCAAGTGGCACATGATCTTGACACAGAAGGCTGGAGCCCCCTTTCTCCACAGGAAAAAAAAAAAAAAAAAGGCAGTCACAGAGAGCTTAGTGTGAGTTCTTGTGTGCTGCAGCTTGGCAGGAAGGGGATCAGACTGCAGTTTGTGAGGCAGTCAGAATCCGGGATGATTCATCTCCAATAGGAGCCCTTGACTAAGGCTGTTGGAGTGAGTGCCTTGACTCTTCTGGTGGGGATGGAGCTGGACCTCACAAGCAGAGGAGTTAGTGTTAGCTCACTTTGTTCAAAAGGCTGAGAAGTATTTCTGACTCTTGTATAATCTAGAAAACTGCTGTTTAATTTATATGTGTGTCTTGTGCTTTAAAGGAACAGCATCCCAAATGTGACAGAGCAATCACTCATTTCCACTGGAGAAAACAGAGTCCAGGTTCTGAAAAATGTGCCTTTCAATATTGTCCTTCCGCACACGCCCCAGATGGGCATGGACAAGAGAGGTCACCTGACAACCCCTGACACAACTGTCACTGTCTCGATCGCAACGATGCCCACCCATTCCATCAAAACGGAGACTCAGCCCCATGGCTTTGCGGTGGGAATCCCTCCAAGCGTCTACCACCCCGAGCCCCCGGAGCGGGTTGTGGTGTTTGACCGGAATCTCAATCCTGACCAGTTCAGTTCCAACACTCAGCCTCAAAACTCACAGCGACGAACGCCAGATTCCACCTTCTCGGAGACTTTTAAGGAAGGAGTACAAGAGGTACAGAGGAACCCTCTTATTTATATTTATTTATTTATTTAGAGTTGCAAGCCAGGTATTGGAGAGCTGTGTAACTATTCCTTTTCCTTGAGGTTTGGGAAAGCTTTACAATGCTGCCATGAACTGTCTCATAAACACTGTAAGATGTGCATAGCTGACACCCAACAGTTTCTTGTTAAAGCCCCGCTCAAGTGTCCTGTTTGTACAGAACCAAAATCAGTTCTTATCTGTTGATCAATTTGCCTGCCAGAAGTTCTGTGGTAACAAGTATCTGTTTAATCTTGACTTTTCTTGTAGCCGCTCTGTTAATTCTTGTGTTGTTTTGTGTCTCTGCCTCCTGCTTAACTGAATCTCCGGATGGCCAACATGAATTCAGAAGATTATGTTTTTGACAGCATTTCTGGGTAACTTTAAGTTCCTGATGGCCCATATTCTCTTGTTCTCTTATAGCTGGATGGCTTTGTGAGTAAGCAGTACAACTTACTCCCTTCTGCACCGAATCCCAGTGAAGCATGGGGTCTCAATGCACGGCAGTGTTTGCTCACTGGCATTTACTCCTCATAGCTGAAACCTCTGTTTTCTACCTATGTTTTCAAGGGAAAAAACATGGGAAATAGCACCCCACTTTAGCTGCCATCTTCATAGCTCTCTACAAGGTTAAAACCTGTGTCCTATAGGAAGATGCAGCGTTGTCTGTCAGCTCTGCAAAGTCTCTTGGAACTGACTTCCAGTTGTCTTGTTCTCCCTGGCCGATTAGCTTTGCTGTTTCCCTGTTTTAAGATCTGTATCATAGAAGTATAGATAGGGTGTGTGAAACTCTCATGTAAGCTTTAAGGGAGGGGATAAAGTAGCTTTTGGTTAGCAGCAGTTGACCAAGACGGAAGAGAAAACTACAGCTTATTAACTTGTGTATTTAGTTTAACTGCTAATATACTTCTGTATTAAAAGAAAGTAGTGTGTTGTGCCGAGTTTGAATAGGGACGTTCTTGCTTGCTGACGAGTCTTGCGATTTAGCTTGCCAAGAACTTCTTTTAAGTGTTCATTCTTGAAGGGAATGGTTGAAAAAGGGGCTCATCCTGTTTCCCCACTTCCTCACCTGTTGAAGGCGTAGTGAGTCAACTAACAAGTTTGGAATTTATCCAAATTAAATGTAGATCGTTTAATCAACTTTCCAGGAAAATGCCTTAGCAATCACTGCCCTCTCCGCTTCGTAGGAATAACTTTGAATACACTCTGGAAGCCTCCAAGTCCCTCCGACAGAAGCCTGGGGACAGCACGATGACTTACTTGAATAAGGGTCAATTTTACCCTATCACACTGAAAGAAGTCAGCAGCAGTGAAGGAATCCACCACCCTATCAGTAAAGTCCGAGTGAGTGATGGCTCTCGTGGTTTTTTGGGCAAGAGGGGATGTGTGTGTGTATACACGTACGTACTGGTTGTCTTAAAATCCCCCCGAGTGCAGTAAGCTGACCTGTAGCAGCAGCACTAAGTCAGCTAACCCACGCTGTTACGTCAGTGCCTGTTCCTTGGCTGTCTACCTACTTTCAGAGCAACCCATCTTGGCTCAGTCTGTTAAGAGGTGGTGTCAGCACTTGTGTAAGGGTGATGCAACACCTGCAATGAGGTCCTTGAACTCCAGTTAGGAGGGCAGTTCTGCTCATCTCTGTTTATGACCCAGAAAGAGGTGCTGTCTGCCTTCTTGTTCCGCAGCAGCGTGCCAGCTCTCCTGGGGTTTGTTCAGTTCAAAAGCCTAATACTCTCTCATGCCAAGAAGAGCTTCCAAAACAAGTAGACTCTGTGGCCTTTTCTTCCACGTATTCGTGTGTGCTTATATGTGTGTTTGTAAGGTGAGATTAAAATATTTATGAATATATTTATATTGTGTGTGTGTATATGTGTATATATATAAAAAATAATCTTCTCACCCTCTTCTTTTAGAGTGTCATCATGGTAGTGTTTGCTGAAGACAAAACAAGAGAAGATCAGCTTCGGCACTGGAAATACTGGCACTCAAGGCAGCACACAGCCAAACAGAGATGCATCGACATAGGTAAGAAAGGCTGCAGTTGCTGATGTCAAACTCCAAACCTAATTCCTTGTCCAGTTTTGGCTCTGTTATTTTAAGGAACCTTTGGTTCGTGATTTGTACTGTCCATAGCTTTGCTGAAAATCCAGAGAGAGCTTTTGATTGCTCTGAGCTAATGTAACTTTTAGAACTTCTTAAAGAGGCTGATTTCTGAAAGGTTTTTTTGCCTGGTGCAAAGGCTGGGTGTAGGGTCCTACTCTGGGAATAACAATTCATTGTTGTTTTGGAATATCTTGGTGGTTGTAGGTAAATTGCAGCTTAGACTCTGTGGCTGTGTCTTCAAAGGACAAGATCCTCCTAGAAATACCTCGATACGAATCATCTTCCTTCCCACAGCTTTGCTCGCAACTGGTCTTTGGTTCAGTTCACTTAAGAGAAGAAAAAAATAAGGCAGTGGGGGGTAGAAACAACCCTGCAGATTTCCACTTGCCTGCAGACAAGGCTGTGGCTGGCTGACTTCCAGACTTCTCTGGCTGAAGGCTGGTTTGTGCTCCTAGTCCCCTCCTTCTGTGAATAAAAGCAGGGATTAATCACTTGGCAGCTGGAGCAGACGTGCATGCAAATCTTTGTTTGTTGTTGAAGGAGTTTTATTGAGAGGTTCTACCCTTGCCATACAGCCATGCAGGATAGGGTTTCCTGCACATAGCAGGGTATGGCACAGAGATGTGCAGTACCAAGAATATCTGCCTTTCTTATTGCCGTTTCTAGTCCAGCTTTTCTGTTTTCGTCTCTTTTTTTTTGTATATGTGCAAGAACTACTTCTGGCCTTTTAATGATCTCCTCTTAAAACAGTAAAACAGTTCAACTTCCTTTGCCCCCAAGGGGTTGAAGAGGAGTTGCAGCTGATACTTACCTGCTTTGTATGATTAAGAAATCCAGATGGTATCATCTCTTCCTCTCCTTCATCTCTCTCTTCTTTTTTTTTTTGGTAGCTGACTACAAGGAGAGCTTCAACACCATCAGCAACATCGAGGAGATCGCATACAACGCCATATCCTTCACTTGGGACATCAATGAGGAAGCCAAGGTATGTGACCACAGTCTTATTTCCTGCCTTTTCCGTAGAGGGAGGGAGGAGGGGAAGGGTGTGTGGCCTACCTGGTGATTAGCATGTAACAAGTTTGTTTACATGCTTGTATTAGGCAAAACCTTCTGGCTGTTTCCTAAGAGGGTTTGCGTGTGCAACTGTGGAGAGCGTTGCAACTGCTTGAGGATTCTTGGCAGAGTTGTCTGCCTGACAGACAAGTACTGACAAAAGGAAGCACCAAACATTTTGCAGAGCAGTGATGAATGGGTACTGAAGGTGTGATTGAGTGTAGCTGGGCTTGGCAGTTAGCACGGTCTCCTTGAGTATCCCAGTGGGTGGTGAGGGGCAAGTTATTTAGAGTTGAGACTGTGGCAATGGGATTGTATTAAGCAGAGGAGGGAGTAGCTGCTCCCACCAAAGAATGTGTTGTTGAAATCGCAGATCCCAGCACACAGTGACCTCTTTCAGTCAGAGCAACCCCCCAGTCAACTCCAGTTTGGTCCCTCTGCAGAACTTTGCGCACCACAGTAGGTACCTAAGCATGGGCAGCTTTTTTGTGTGTGTGGAAGACGTCTGGGATGTGTGACAGAGCAGTGAGCTGCTGACCAGAGGAAGTGCTGCCTTGCAGCATGGGCAATATCACTTGTGAAGCTGGTGCTGGATGCCAAGCTTCTCCCTTCACCAGACTCAGTACTTGGGTTGCCTTAAATCAGGCTAAGAATGATGGCTTTACCTGCGGAAGCAGGTTGAAAGATGGAGATGGAGATTTTGAGGCATGGAACATTTTGCTGTATGAACAAACAGATGAGCCTTCAGAGTCTGTCAAAAGGAGGGAGCACGTGATCCCAGAGTATTTCCCAATTACTATAACTAGGCTAAGATTGCTCTACCCAAGGAACTTGGGTGGTCTGTGTTTGTGAGGTGTCCAAAGGCCTTGGACTTGGACACAGGGATGGATCTTGCAGAGACAGCCTTGATTTTTAGGGCCTTAAAGAACTGGAAACACTAACCAAGGAGCAGGGCTGAGAGCTGTTGCTGAAAACCCAGTGGCCGCCTCAAGGAAAGGCACCCCCACCCCACCGCCAGGTGACCAGAGCCACTTTCCTGACTCTTATCTCAAGGCAGTCAGGCAAGTTTGTGAGCTAAAAAGCAGACAAAAGATACTAAAAGTAGAGAATTTTGTCTGGAGCTGAAGGATTGAATTGTTCAACAGGCCTTCTGTGCTGTCCTTGGCATGTCAAGGCAGAGGGGTTGGTTTTAGTGGAGCAAGCAGCTTTGAAAAGGCTTTGGGCTTTGAAAAGATACAGCAAAGTATTTGGAAAGCTTCTTCAGAGGTGGCTGAACTTGTTATCTGAAATAGGCTGTTATGCCTGATTATTGGCCTGGTGCTCCACAATCTCCTGAGTGGTATTGTAGGTTTTAGGTCCATAGCAAAATGGCCGGTAATAGCCTGAAAATGTCCCCAAACTCTCAAAAGTTTGATATCTTGGCTCACATTTGAGCTGTATGGGATGAGGTGGTGCAGGAAGGCATGAGCTGCCCAGCTGTTCTGGCTGTAGACATGACTGCCTCCAGATTGACTCTGAGATTCATGTGCTTCAAGGATGACTGGGTTTGAAGGAGCCGGGGGGTGTTCTTGGTACAAAAAACACAAGACTTGGCTCCTCACAGCAGTCTTTTTAAGAAAAAAAAAATACTCTGGACTTCTTTGTTGAAAGGTTTCTCATTCGTAGCAAGTTCTCTCTGTGTTTAAGAGTCTACTTAAATGTGTAGGGCTTTGCTTTTTTTTTGGTATTTTTTTTCCCCTTCCCTGAGTGGATGCGTTTGTCAGTGATTGGATTTCTCATCAGCAGAGCTGCAATTCTTTCTCAACGCTTACGATCTTATCAAGAGATGCCTGAGCCAACTTCAACAATTTTTATTGCATGGTTCATTTACTTTGCATTCTCTGTCTCTCATTTTCTCCCTCTGTGTCTCTATCTAAAGCAGGGAATAAAGAGAGCGGAGTTTGATGCTACAGAAAGTTCTCCACAGTAATAAATGCAGTGCATTATGTTTAGTAATAGCAGCAATGTTGCATAGATTGTACGATTAACCAGCCACCAAGTTTCGATTATCAGAAACTTGCTTTCACATGGTGTTAATAGGACCAGAGCTGAGGAATTCTTTGAGGGTTGCCGTTTTCCCCCTTTCCCTCTTGCTTTTGGTTCCAGTTTGCTGCGGTGATCATTTCGTACTGTGCAGCCCAGTCTAATGGTGTGAAATGGGAGGTGATGAGTCTCTGTGTCTGAGTTTCTGATGTAATTATTCACTTAGGCACCCAGGGCTGTGGGTGTGTGTCAAATGTCTTAAAGGAGAAATAGCATGTTAGCACGAGAAGCTGCCCCTAGCTGCTCTGGTGCCAGTGTGTTATAAATCCTTGCTTAATGTTGTTGCACTAGCCCTTGTCATGTGGGGGGTGTGAGAATATCTGACCTCTGCTGCTTTTCCAGCCCTGAAGAGGTCACCTAACCAAGGGAAGGCTTTGTCAGACAGTTCAGGTGCTTTGGGAATTTTATGAAGTACAATTTCGGGGCGGGGAGGAGAAGGGAACAACTCTTTTCAGGTGTTAATATTGCCTCATTGCACTCATTAAAAGGGAAACTTCATACATATATCTCCCCAGTGGAGCTGTGGAGGGAGAGGAGGAAGTTTGAGCTTCCCTTGGCATTCACTATCTCCCATATGTATCTGCTGGGAGAGCCGAGTGTAACTCTGGAGTATTTTTTGCATGTGCAAGATGCAAATGGGCAGGTCTTGCTCTAGTGAATGGAGCCATCGTGCAGCTGACTGTGCCTGTGCACTGTCTGTGAGCGCAGATGTGTGAAAATGGGAGCTATGCACGCACAGCAAGCGTTACTCAGTCTTGGATTCGGAGCAAATGGCGTGTACCTTGCTGCAGCTCCTCTCTGCCCTCTCCTGTTCCTCTGAGACAACACAGGAATTGGTAGATGTGGCCACCCTATTGCAGCGAGGTGGATTAAGTATTCTGTGATCTCCGCAAGAGCAAGCGCAAAGTGGAACAGTGCTCAGGGCCTAAATGCTCCTTGTTCTGGGATAGGGAAGGGAAGAGGGCCAGACTTGGGGGAGAAGGGAAGAAACTGCCTAAGTGCTGCCCCTTAGGATAGGGTAGAGAGGAAGTGCTGTGGAGTGGGGAAGTGGTGATTCTTATGGGTGTGCAGGGGTACGTGTTAAGGGCTGAGGCCTGACCCTACCAGGTCCAGGGGAAGGACTGGATAGGAGAGAACTACGCCTTGTGAGGAGGGAGTGAGGGGTGGTAAACTGGTGAACTGTTGAGTTGGGTTTTTAGGAAAGTCGGTGCATCTACTCAGTTAGGAGGAGTCCTAGTAGGGTGCAACCATGATCTGATGAGTCTGACAAAGATATGTAGCTGATGCACTCGCTTGCACGCAACAGGAATGCTGGAGTTACCCTGAGGCTTGCGGAGGCTTCAAACAGTTTCCCACTCTGTCCCGGCCTTCCGCTGTGTTGGGCAGACAGTTGAGGTAGGATCGTTTTCCTCCTAACAGCTTTTAAATGTTTAACCCAAGCTCATCATCTGCTTCTACTGCTTCCAGTAGAAATAAGGTGTAACTGGTATGGAGCTCTCTAGAGGTGCCTGCCTCTCATGAGCTCTCATCATGTAGTAGGCTTGACCACCTTTAAGGTCTGTTGCCAAAGCTAGAGAAGGAGAAGCTTCTCCTTGCAGGTCCCATTTTTGTCTTTTATCTCCACATGTCAACTGGGAGAAGCACTTGTAGGTTCTGGTCATGAGTTTTTTGAGACTGAGAACTAACTTTTGCCAGTTCTGTACAGCACGCCTGGTTCTCCTGCTCTTGGCTTGCACACACAAAAGTGTTAGTGAACATTACCACTACATGCATGGTAAATGTGCACTTCCGCCTAAGTGTTGCCTGCTATTCCATTCATAACGTTGGCCGTTGTCCTGTTACCTCTGTTGTGTTACCGGTTAGGTCGTGAAGCAAATTCTCTATCCTTTAACTCTGGCCTGGGGACATGACCTGCTCTCGGATCAGTGACAGTTGAATAATCTGGACAGATCAGTTTCCCCAGGAATAACTGGCTTTGCTGGATCCAGCTTTGCTCAAATCCTGTCTGAGCTCCTGCTTTGTGGGACCCTGATTCAGCTGGGACCTCGTATCTGAGCCAGGCAAGCCAGCCTGCCTTCATGCCACGTGAGAGGGCAGGGAGGCTCCTGTGCCCACCTGGGAGCCCCTCTGCACAATCCTGGATAGGTGCAGGGTGATTATTCTGGTGCTGGTGTCCCCTCCCCTGGGTTGGCTGGCAGGTGTCGGTTACATGTATGAGGCGACAGCTGTGCTGCTCAGCCCTTCAAGGAGAAGGCCTTGAAGATCAAGGAGAGGCCTGACTGGGCAGTCCTAGTTGAAGTCATCTTTCAAGTCACTTTTCCAGTGATTAAAGTCATCTTTCCAGGTGCCTCTTTGTGAGGTTTTGCCATTTTGGCAATGTGAGGACCCTGTTGCTGCTCTGGAGCCTGGCTTCCTTCTGGGTTGCCCCTGAGACAGGGCCTTGAGCCCTGCAGCTCCCAGAGGAGCGCCCTGGGGAGGTGCCCTGTGGGGGTCATCTCTCTGGGTGGGTGGCACTGGAGCCAGCAGTGATGGCACTGCATTAAGAGCTCTGCTGTCCTCCCACTTCTCCTCTCCAAAAGGAGAGGGAGAGGGGGAAAAAAGGGGGAGGCGGTAGAAGTCAGATGCTCTGTGTGAAAAGACCCTTCCTAATCCAAAGGAACATGCAGTGAGGGTGTAACAGTGGCACTCAGGGCCTTGTGGTAGAACTTTTTGCTCTTTCTGCTGAGGAGAATGTGTTGTGACATCTCTAAGTGACACCCTGAAAGGCAGAGCAATTAAATATTGTTTTTTTGTTGTGCTTTTTTTTTCTTCTTCCCCAAGAAAGATGAAACAGTTCTGTATTAAGATAAT